ATGAAGTGCTCTTTAATCAGATGAGCCTATATCATGCTATTCCCATTAGAGACATGAGCTGCACTGATCTCTTCACAACTGCTATACCGTTAATCCAGATGAACTAGAACACTTGATGAAGTTACAGCAGAGTGTAACTTCCACACAAGCTTTATCTAATCTCCTTAACTAGAGTCCAGTACTTTCCAGCATTATAAATGCCAAGCACTATAATTTAAGCATATTCAACTGCATAAGAAAGAGTGGTGCAATTTCAGACTTTTTTTTTTAATGCAAAATTGCTGAACTTGTAATGCTGAATTTAGCCCACTGGCAAACTGTAGTACATTTTCAACCATCTATGTCTAAGGAAAAAATATATATATACACACACATAAAAAAATAAATTATATGAATAGAGCCATTCTTGTTGTATTAACAGACAGTGAAAAAACAGGAACACAAATGAAGGATATTAAAACAGACTATAGTGATTACTTTTTTTTTTTTTTGGGGGGGGGTGCACACCAAAAAGGGAGTGTTGCATCCCTAAAAAGAGGCTAGGGGATGAGTTAAGGAACAAAAAATAAAAGAGAGAATTTTCAAACATGAGCTTTTTGTTTTTTGGGGGGGTTTTTTTAAAAAAAAAAGAAAGAAAGCTATTGAAAGATGACACTAGCTACTTACCAGTAGGTCAAGCACACCACTAAACTGACAAATACTGTTAAAGCACACAATCCTCCGCCATCCAAGAAACACAGCTATTCACTAGCAGTTCTAGCCGGTCCACACCCCACCACTGAAACTGGCCTAGACTGAGCCTGAGTAGTGCTACACCTGCTTTTATACTGTGGTGAGGCTAATTCCTGAGTAGAGACAGCTGTGCATTGGCACCTCAAGAGAAATGGGTGGCAGTTGAATGTGTGGGGCAAACAGGACATACCCACACAACATGCGGGCTGTAACAGTGAGCTTAAACTGCAGAAGTCTATGTGGTAGATGCAGGTGAAAAGAAAGATTTCTCCAAATTGAAAAAAATGTATACAAGCATCTTTTTGCAACTGTGGACATACAAGTTTGAATTATCACCTTAAAAGATAATAACATCTCTGACACACTGTCCTCCTTTTCCTTTTGTTTGGCAGCATTAAGTGGAAATACAGTTTGACACGGTAAAAAGAGTCTTCTGTGGTCATTTGCAACAGGTATAAATACTCATTCTGTTGCGCCTGGTCAACACTTGGTGTGACACAGTTTGCTTCAAGCATAATGACGTCTTTATCCTTCTAAGCTACAGTGCTTGAACTGTTCTTCATATTATTTAATCATCTGACTCTATAAAAACACCATGGTTCCACCTCTGAAGGAAAAAAAATAAACAGCTGATGCTACATTTTATGTTCAGACAAACAAGTTAAAATGTTTTTTTCATCTGGTACATTTGAACATTGATGGATAACACTAGTGACCTAATTTCTACTAGTTGAAATGCAAAATGTAATTGTGTGGCATGCTAACAAGCGTGCATCACCCTTCATTTTAAAAAGTAGAAAATAGAGCCTTGCTGAAAAATTACTTGGCTGATATTATTAGTCAGTATTGTCATATGTTGGGTTATGTATATTATATTAATAATAATAATATATATAATTAATATTATACATAATGACCATGTCCCAAGGTATAAAAAACAACATTTTTTAGAATATGAAGCAAGAATATATGATCAGTGTATTTGAGAAATGGCATCATCACATAGTTTGCAGTACAATAAATGAGTCTCAACAAGTGATGGTATACAGGCTTAAAGCTTTATGTTTCTAACGATGTGATGGAAAATCAAAACGTTGTTGAAGATTCTTACCTATGTACAGACCAAACTTAGTTTCATATGACTGAAATAGATTCATTCTCAGAATATCTCAGGAAGCTCACACAGTTCTCACTTCACTAACTTCACTAACTTCACTTCACTAACTTTCTGAAATAACGCAAAAAAAAGTGTGTTTCCCTTTATTTGCAATAATTTCTTACTGATGATAAAGTCTTTCTTTCTAATTCATTCAATTTCTGTTAAAACAACAACAACATTAAACCAAAATATCTACACAGACTTACAACTCGTGGCTGTCAAACTGCTGAATTTGTACTATACTACTTACTTTAACCGATTCATTTAAAGCTTCCAGACATCACCACTATCGAGTTCTATGACTTAAAATGGAAAAAGAGAAAACAACCCTAAACTAAGACTAGATTGAACCTGGCATCAGAGCTCTTACTTAAAAATCAGTTATGTACTACAGGTCACAGTATAATGTTAAACTTTTGAAAACATAGCCAAATAACAACCCAAATTTTTGTCCTATAGAGGACATACACATGATCTCTAATCTTTCCCTATCAAAAGCTACCGGTCACATTGATATTTTTCTTCTATCTCCTACATACAACAAGGCTGTTGTACAAGAACTTGTGAAAAAATACTTTTGGTTACTTTTTATTATCCACTTATCCTGATTAAAGTCAGTGACATAATTGTTTGTTAACTATATCAAAATTGGTGAATTTAGGAACAGTAATGACTATCATGTGATTGCAGAAAAGCATTAGTTTGTAATGTGTTACTTCCATCAGTAATTGATGAACCATCTACGAGACTAACTTTTTATTGCTGGACAACAGGAAAACTTGATCCATAATCATACTGTACATTAACCAAAGATGTATGTATGACATTCTGTCTGTAGCAAACAAGGGAGTGACAACAACCACTGATAGTTGAGTGTAATGAGCTAAAGAAGTAGAAATTCTTTCTCCGAAGTTGATGTATACAGACAGAGCTTTAATGGACTGAAAAGGCTATCAATGTTACTTTAATCAATAATAATTTCCCTATAATTCTGCTGAGCAATTTAAATATGACTCAGGTTTAAGAACTTTATAAAGTCAGCAACCATGATTTCCTATGTTCCAATGTTCATCCTAGTTCTGAATGATAAAAAACTGATAGCGACTTCCTTTTATTCAAAGCTTTTGCTGAAAATTCAAAATGCTAACTCTGATTGGCTTATTCCATTGAAGCTAGTAAAGGGTATTAGGTGTTCAGTAAAATTGTGAAGAAATGTTTCCACAGACCAATGTTTGCTTCAAAGTTCAAACAGAATAATAAGTCATGAATGTTTTGAACCTGCATTGTAACCACCTTCTTGTCTTTTTTTTTTTAGCCTAAATTTACCTTGGATTACAACGCCATGCAGAAATGGCTTACACTACCCCTGTTGCTTGTTGCATTCCTGTTGAGTAGAACAAGTGATACAAACTACACTAACAAAGCAACAGCATGAAAACAGTGTGTAGCACCAGTAATGTTTAAAAATTTGCAAGATCCCTTTAAGGTGGGAATGCAAGTTTGTGCATGCTTTACAGCAAGCTGCACTTTGAAAACTCTTGTTTTAAAGGATAATGTCTCTCAAATTCAGTGTCAATATGAAAAACCTCTGTCTTTGTAATGAAACAACCTGTCTAACAACCTGTGGAAGACTGAAGTTAAGCATAATTTTAAAATGACAGAGAAAGCGATGCTCCTCGCACTCCAAATACAATCCTTTAACTCAGCTACTGAGAGAAGATTATTTTTCCTTCAACCAACGTGTCCGTTTTATACAGGTATTAGCCATGCAGCACAGTTGCTACAAACATGCTAATAACGTATGCCAAAATTTTCTGAAAAGAACTGAACACATAGCTTGGGTATATCCTAACTTTTGGTTTAGGCAAATTAAAAGGATATCCCTACCCTTCTTAAGTTTGGAGAAATAGGTCAAACTATGACAAAATCAATTAAACCATTCTGATAAATCCATTCACAAAAATTTGTCAGGCTAATTTTACTGGTGAAATAAAAATAATACCCCCATAATGCTTATAACTAGTAATCCAAAACGCCTTGCAAAGCATGCAGGGAACATAGTGAACATTTATCTTCACAGTGTAGCCTGCTCATTGCTGGCAGAGCATTTGCACTTTATATATTTAGTTATCTCTTCACTTGGATTACATTCCTGTCCCCTGTCCAGCACTTGCAAACTCCGTTTAACAGCTCAGACATCAATACTTTGCAATATGTTTATGTGTTATGCACAGTCTCATATTCCTGTGGGGATGAGATTAAGTATGTGCCACTCACAAGTGATTTCTTGGTATTTTGTTAACATAGTATCTTAATTATTTTCCCACTAGGACTTAAAGTCTGTTGATGGCGCACACAAAGACTCAGTGGTGAGTTTATGGAGACCTTATCACTTAATGGTATTTGTTTCAATCTCATGAGACATCACAATAACATTCTTACAGGCCCTAAATGCCGTGCTGTGTCTGCAGTGCTCAATAGGCTATAGTGAGTTTTCAGTGAGCTTATCGCACTTTATTGCATCTTTATGTCCTGTAACAGGGGTTTGTTCGACTGGTCTAAGTAGTCTCAAAAAGGGCAGCCTGATATCTCAACACACAACATGACCATTACGTAACGCAATTTACGGAATACCCCACGGGCCAATTAACGGATAACGATATTTTGTAACAATTTCAGTAATCTGCCAGCCTTGCATAACGGCAGGGCCTGGCTGCGAGAACAGATGCGCAGGCTGGCATATTGCTAATGGATTGTAAACACGGGCTGCCTATAGGCCTCGGCTGCCTCAGATATTATTCTGGTGGAGAAGAGCCACCTTCTCTCCCCGCCACCTGCAGAATGCGCAAGTCTATAACAGCCCACTGCAGCCCCGTGGCCTCTTGATTTATTGCACTGCACAAAACAGATAGCAGTGGGCTTTAGCTGAAATCATTATATATTTATGCAGTGGCAGCAGAAAAGCAGTCTGCCGTAGAAAAGACACATAAAAATTATGCATAGTGGCCTTGAAATAAATAACAAACGGCGGCAGCCCCCCACCCCCCCGTATTGATTTGAATGTAGATGCACAGCAGAAATCCGATGATTCCGCTCAAAGGGTGCTTACCTCAAGCGTTCGTATCTCTTTTTGTGTCAAGTCGTTGGATGTGGCACATTTGGTCCGTAAACCCTCCAAACTAGAAATGCTTATGTCTATCATATTTTGCACCAACTCGCACTGCTGCAAGGCTTTCTGCAAACTAAGATGCTGCTCCTCGCTTTTTGTCATCTCCTCGTTCATAGTTTTGTGAACAGTGGACGTTATTTTTCCGTTGCACTTAACAAAAAAGGAATGAATTAATTCAAAAACAAGGGAGTAAAAATATTGATGATTATTCAGGAAAAGAGCGTGGTGAAACCCACGGAACGGAGCAACCTGCAAAACGCCATGAAACGAGATGTTGAAGGTTTAGAGACGGGCTTTGAGCCGTGAGAGAATCGACTCCATTGCAACAACAGTCCTCGTAGTTCCTGCTGTTTCATCAAGGTGTCTCTGGTTGTGGGCTAAATCAAACACAGTATGAAGATACCAAGCGGGACTACGCGGTCTGCATCCATTGGGTTCCACTTCTTTCAAATGTATGTTTGGGGGGGAAAAAAAGAAAAGAACAAGAAGAAGCTGTTCAGCGCACCATAAGTAGACGCATCGGGGAAAAGCCTGCTGGTTTTAAAGGTGCTGATGTGCGGACTGGATGCAGGTACTCCCTGTCTCCCTAGGCAGCAGCTGCATCCCGGTTCTCTCCCACCACACCGACATGTTTCCTGTCAATCAAACCCACAGCAACAGCATCGCATCGCCCAGGCACCACCGTGAGGGGCCGTTCTCGCGAGATTACAGAGCAGAGTAGAGAGCTTACTATGCTTGAAACGCCAGGCTAGAGTTAGAGACAAAACTATCCCTTTTTACATGTTTGAAACAAAAATGTCCTTTTACTGAATATGTATGATATCTATTAGTTTACTACAGGCTCATGCTGTGTGCACACTTATATAGCCTGCAGTCCACAGCCACACACACCCCTTCAAAATATTTCTAGAGAATGATTTAAATATGCTTTAAAGTTAAATGGAAAAACAAATATTCTTTTCCACTGATTCATGTGAGACATTTAATTTTGGCCTAGTGAGACAACTCTGTACTATGCCTGTTGATGTTTGTATGTGAGTGGAATCTTCTGTTTTTTATTGTGTGCCTTATCTCATTTCTTCTTCCTCTGTGCTCAGGTTTAATTTGCAGAAGAGATCTTGATCACAGTGAGGCTCCTCAGTCCTCAGTTAGAATGTAGGTTATAACGCAGACATTACAAATAGAAACTGGATCGTTCAAAAACAGCAGTTGCAGGAAAAAAAAATATAAACCAAACATTAAGGATTGAATGCTGTCAAAATGCAGGCTGTGATATTAAATTGTTATCCTTGACTGATGCAGTATAATGCAGCCTGGGAATCAAGATGCTTTGGAGGTTGCCAGCAACAAATCTGAGAAGTCAAGCTGATTAAAGAGATAGGAGATGGTAAACAAAATCTTGTGTACTTTACTGCTCACAACTTTTTTTCACTAACCTATGATGATCAAGAAAATGTTTCAGAGAAACCTGTCGTGTAAAGTATAGGTTAGGTGATATTTCAAATTCAGGCTCTAGATAAATATATGGGCACACTGCACTTTTTTGACATATGGACAGATATGTGTATTTTATTGTCAGCACCATTACCAGAACAGAAAATAAATGCAAAAACATGTAGAAAACATTTGTGACACTCTTTGTCATGTGTTAAGATGCTTAAATATTAACACTTACAAAGATAAACTATAATGAGATTAAGATGTCAGTGTTGTATAAAAGTGAACAAACTACATCTAAGAAGGAAAGGTGTAGACTTTCTTTTTTTAAAATTTAACAAGACGTTTAGTGACACGTGACTTTTATTTAAAAAATCAAGATAGCCAAAACACTTTTTTTCTTTTATTTTGGTGATTAGGACTTTAAAGACTTGTAGTTCTTGCTGTTGGGAAAAAAAACCTACTCCTGAGTTTGATTTTAATTTTCACTGATTAGGGAAAGGAATTCTTCAAAATGGGAGAGACAATATTTAAAAATGAAAGAGGAGATATATATCTTCGTTGTTATGATGTTTGATATTGTGTATCTTTTATTGTTACAATTTCTAAATCCCGTTATTATTATTTTTTTACAGCAGAGAACAAGTCACCGATACTCCGCCCATGAAAATGACAATGTGATTCCATTGGTTGTACGTGGTGACGTCTGACGTACGTTTTGTTTGCGGAGCGCGCCAAACAGGGCCATCAACAGTAGTAATCGCAGTGGCTTAAACTCTGGAACCCTTTTGCTCAGCTTGGCGTAATATTCATGCTTGGTAGGATCCATGGCTTCTACAAGTAAAGCGCCGCTACAGACCAGAAATTTACCATGGTGAGCTGAAAGTCGCTGTTTATCACAGAATGGTTCAAAAAGTTATTGCTAGCTAGCTAACATGCCTACTGTCAAGCTAGCTGCTCGCTGCACTGAGTAGACTGATGCATTCTGTGAATTGCTAGCTTTATATACATTTAGAAATGACGTTAGTTATTACGCATAGTTGTAACATGGAAGGAAATTAGCTTGTCTTCAGTTCGGCTTACGTAAATCTTATCAGTCCATCAAGCATTAACATGGTGCCACTTCAGCAACAGGTTAACCGAAAACCTGCAGCTTCTGACTGCGGTGAAAGTACTGTAAGGTTGACGTTTTGTTTATAATAAAGGGTGATGTTACGAAAAAAAATATGGATGCGGAACTAAAAAGTGGCCATATGTAATGTGATATGTCAACGTTTGTCAGCGCTTATCATATGTGTCCGTAAACGTTTCAATAATTTTCTTTAAAATTCTTTCGAGGTTGCTTATTTTCCTTGCTGTAAACGCAGTAGTTATTGCAAGTATGAATGCGTGTGTGTGCGTTTTCCTGTTTCAGGGTTGAAAAATACAGACCACAGACACTTGATGATCTGATTTCACACAAAGATATTCTGAGCACTAGTAAGTATGTGGACTGCCAGAATAACAATACTATAAAACTGTATAACATGACACTTATGGATAATCAAACTACTTTTAAAACGTAATAAACTGATAAACTCAATGCTATCTGCCAGTGTTTTTGACTCTTGAGCTTGTTTACTGTGGTTATACCGTCACTGTCATTAATGAGTCATGGTACTGAGTCAGCTGGCTTAAAACTTTTATGTTTCAAACTATTCAAGGGGGGTGCATATACGAATTGTTATAGAAATGTTGGTTACTTGTATTTAAACTGATTTTCATTTGTTCTTTTTATTTCCAGTCCAAAGGTTTATCAGTGAGGACAAGCTTCCACACCTTTTGTTCTATGGCCCACCTGGAACAGGAAAAACCTCAACCATACTCGCTTCTGCCAGGCAGCTGTACAAAGAGAAGGAGTTCAACTCTATGGTGTTGGAGGTATGTTACAACTCCTCATTAGAAGATTTGGGTTTGCTGAATTGTAAAGGTTTTTTTAACTTCTAACTCTGCCATTTTACGTTAAAATATAACTAATTTTGGTTTATAGCTCAATGCATCTGATGACAGAGGTATTGATGTAGTACGAGGTCCCATTCTGAGTTTTGCCAGCACCAGGACCATCTTCAAGTAAGACTAAAACACTTACACTTGTAGAGATTTTGACCAGAAATAAGTGTTCTCAATACTTTTATGTGCAGTTAAGAAGTGCAATGGAAATGTAAGCTGCTGCCTTTGCTTTTTTATATATCTTGTCCTTCAGGAAGGGCTTCAAGTTGGTGATACTGGACGAGGCCGATGCCATGACCCAGGATGCCCAGAATGCATTGCGTCGAGGTAAGCCATCTGTTCGTTCAGGCATTACCCACTGTGAGGCACACGGCTCAGTGAGCAGGCAATTTGGCTGCTGCTGACTTACAGTGTATCTACTTTTAAACCTGGATATTTATTTAAAAAGCTTTACTTTGCAGAAGAGTGGAAATAATTATTGAATTCAACTGTGAGATATTTTGTAAATTTAGTCCAACCTGTGTTTTTCTAATAATGTTTCCATATTTCATTTATAAAGCATCTATTGCTGCTCAGTGTCGTTTTATATTTCTAAATAGATGCATGGTGAAGGAAGAGTGGATGATATTATTGGTATATTACTGTCAATTCTAAATTCTCAGTGAGGTGGTTTACAATCTTAGCAACATTAAGCAAGTCCTTAGGATAGATTATTCAAAAAAGTGGAGGGTTTTTTTTATTTACTAAGATGTTGCCAGAATTTACATTTTAAACTTGTTTCCCTGCTTTCATCCCACCCTTGCTCTCTGTCTCAGTCATTGAGAAGTTCACAGAAAACACTCGATTCTGTCTCATTTGCAACTACCTTTCCAAGATCATCCCCGCCCTGCAATCTCGCTGCACCAGGTTCCGCTTTGGTCCGCTTTCGCCAGACCAGATGATCCCTCGGTTGGAGCACGTTATCCAGCAGGAGAAGTGAGTTAATGTGTGAATGCTTTCTCTCCACTTACTGTTGTTGTTGTTTTTTTACATCTCATTGAATTATTCCCAGAATTGCTAATGAACTTGCCACATGTATTTGTACCTGTTGGCCTCCCTGGGCTCCGCTAATCTGCGTATAGTGAGAGAAATAATTATTTGATCCCCTGCTGAATTTATAATTTTGTTCATTTCCTTGTAAGTGAGCATTCTCTAATTTTTATGGTAGTTTAATTTTAATAGAGACAAACATAATACCAACCACATTAAAGATTGTTTAAAATCCAGAGTCTTTGTTCTTATGTTACGTTTCTGTTGGGTAATGTTTAGAAGTTTAGGGCTTCTGTGTGTGTTTGAAAACAGTTTAAATCAGGGTGCAACATCAACCCTGGCCTCTCAACTGTACCAGGCCCTGAAAAACCAACAAATACCACAATAGGAAATGAATGTTCTCATTGTTTCACATTTATTGCTACGTGCAACCTGTGATGGAAGAAATTAATGAATGGACTTGGAATTCTTTTTGATCGCTCTATTTATTAAATGTCATCAGTTATGTGTTCATGTCGCATGTTTTAATTTAACATTGATATGATTTAAAAATAGTTGATTATGTCATTACTTTTTGTGACAGTATTGACATCACGCCAGATGGAATGAAGGCTATCGTGACCTTATCAACAGGTGACATGAGAAGATCGCTCAACATACTGCAGGTATGGCCAGAAGTTCATCATCAACATTGTTTAAGATGTGGATGTCATATTCAGTGTGGCCGTTTTTAAACAGCAAAAATATAGCCACTGGCCACTTCATTAGTTGCGTCCCCCCTTTTGCCTTCAGAGCTGCCTTATTTCTTTGCACCATTCTCTGTAAACCCTAGAGACAATTGTGTGGTAAAGTCCCAGTAGACCAGCAGTTTCTGGTTACGTTTCTTCCCCGTTCTGATACTCCGTTTGAACTTCTTCAGGTTGTCTTGACCATGTCTACATGCCGTAATGCATTGAGTTGCTAGCATGTGATTGTATTTGCATTAACAAGAATTCAAACAGGCATATCTAATGAAGTGGCCAATGAGTAGTATATGTATACAGTGGGGCAAAAAAGTATTTAGTCAGCCACCGATTGTGCAAGTTCCCCCACTTAAAATGATGACAGAGGTCAGTAATTTGCACCAGAGGTACACTTCAACTGTGAGAGACAGAATGTGAAAAGAAATCCATGAATTCACATGGTAGGATTTGTAAAGAATTTATTCGTAAATTAGGGTGGAAAATAAGTATTTGGTCACCTCAAACAAGGAAAATCTCTGGCTCTCACAGACCTGTAACGTCTTCTGTAAGAAGCTTTTCTGTCCCCCACTCGTTACCTGTATGAATGGCACCTGTTTGAACTCATCATCTGTATAAAAGACACCTGTCCACAGCCTCAAACAGTCAGACTCCAAACTCCGCCATGGCCAAGACCAAAGAGCTTTCGAAGGACACCAGGAAAAGTATTGTAGACCTGCACCAGACTGGGAAGAGTGAATCTACAATAGGCAAGCAGCTTGGTGTGAAAAAATCAACTGTGGGAGCAATCATCAGAAAATGGAAGACATACAAGACCACTGATAATCTCCCTCGATCTGGGGCTCCACGCAAGATCTCATCCCGTGGGGTCAAAATGATCATGAGAACGGTGAGCAAAGATCCCAGAACCACACGGGGGGACCTGGTGAATGACCTGCAGAGAGCTGGGACCAAAGTAACAAAGGTCACCATCAGTAACACACTACAACGGCAGGGAATCAAATCCCGCAGTGCCAGACGTGTTCCGCTGCTGAAGCCAGTGCATGTCCAGGCCCGTCTGAAGTTTGCCAGAGAGCACATGGATGATACAGCAGAGGATTGGGAGAATGTCATGTGGTCAGATGAAACCAAAGTAGAACTTTTTGGTATAAACTCAACTCGTCGTGTTTGGAGGAAGAAGAATACTGAGTTGCATCCCAAGAACACCATACCTACTGTGAAGCATGGGGGTGGAAACATCATGCTATGGGGCTGTTTTTCTGCCAAGGGGACAGGACGACTGATCCGTGTTAAGGACAGAATGAATGGGGCCATGTATCGTGAGATTTTGAGCCAAAACCTCCTTCCATCAGTGAGAACTTTGAAGATGAAACGAGGCTGGGTCTTCCAACATGACAATGATCCAAAACACACCGCCCGGGCAACAAAGGAGTGGCTCCGTAAGAAGCATTTGAAAGTCCTGGAGTGGCCTAGCCAGTCTCCAGACCTCAACCCCATAGAAAATCTGTGGCGGGAGTTGAAAGTCCGTGTTGCTCGGCGACAGCCCCAAAACATCACTGCTCTCGAGAAGATCTGCATGGAGGAATGGGCCAAAATACCAGCTACTGTGTGTGCAAACCTGGTAAAGACCTATAGTAAACGTTTGACCTCTGTTATTGCCAACAAAGGTTATGTTACAAAGTATTGAGTTGTATTTTTGTTATTGACCAAATACTTATTTTCCACCCTGATTTACGAATAAATTCTTTACAAATCCTACCATGTGGATTCATGGATTTTTTTTTCACATTCTGTCTCTCACAGTTGAAGTGTACCTCTGGTGCAAATTACTGACCTCTGTCATCATTTTAGGTGGGGGAACTTGCACAATCGGTGGCTGACTAAATACTTTTTTGCCCCACTGTATATCCAAACTGCAGATGGGTAAACTGTACTGCATGTCATCCATCTCTGTGATTTCAGAGCACCAGTATGGCCTATGGGAAGGTCACAGAAGACACAGTGTACACCTGCACAGGGCACCCCCTCCGCTCAGATATAGCCAACATCCTCGACTGGTGCCTCAACAAAGACTTTACTTCAGCGTACAACCGTATCCTATATTTAAGTTCTATGAAAGCTGCACATTTCTTGTTTTTGACTATGACATTTTATACTTTGAACATTTCTTATGAAGTTTAGCATATTCCAAGAAAGAACATTTCTTTCTTGCAAATAAAACTTTAGGTTAATAGAAGCTAGCTGTACCTAAATGCTTTGCAAATGTTTTTAAAGATTCGGTGACTTTTTTTTTTTAATGGTGGGTTACCGAACAAAAATTCATATTAGTAGTACAGTTTATGATCTTGCATTTCTTTAACACATGGATGAAAGAAATCCTTGAGCTGAAGACTCTGAAAGGTTTGGCTTTGCATGATATTCTCACTGAGGTTCATCTGCTTGTACACAGAGGTAAGGAACATGCAAGGGGGGGAAAATCACACGTTTTTATTTCTTTCTTTAATTTAAGCACCCCAGCACAAAAGCCACCCTCCTTTTATGCCAACATTTGATTGGCTGCCTCTCGCAAACATAAGGTTTGAACAGGTGGATGGGGTTGCTGTGCTCACAGACCAGCCCTAACCATAAAGTATTTGGAGCAGTCTTTGGCCACGTGTGACATGAGTGTCAACCATAGTAACAGCACATGTTAAAGAAAACACGCAATGGGGCCACTTTAAAACCCACTGAAAGGTTGGCGGTTAGTGACGTGTTCAGTGTTAAAGTTTTAAGCTCACAAGTTTGTGCATTAATGAAAGTTTTTCTGTTTTTACTATCAAAAGCAAAGTATCTAATTTTTAAAAATGTTTTTTCTTTAAAGTGGATTTTCCTCCTGCTATTCGGATTAGTCTGCTCATCAAGTTGGCCGACGTAGAGTAAGTGTGATGCTTTTTCAAAAAATACAATGTAACAAGTCATGTTAATATAATAAAGACGCCAACATGTTGATTTCCACACGTTGTGGCAAATTTTTTATTTCCATTATTGCTCATGTTTCATCTCTTCAGACATCGGCTTGCATCAGGAACCAGCGAGAAGATCCAGCTGAGCTCCATGGTTGCAGCTTTCCAGGCAGTGAGAGAGCTCGTGGTCAGCGAAGCACCTTAGATACAGTAATGCAACGATGGTCTTTTTCCACAGGGGGGGGGGCAGCATCAGGATAAAAAGGATAACCAGTTATTTGTTTATTTGGGAAGAAAACTGTGTCCAGTGCATAATTGCTCACCATACTGAACCTGCTGTACAGTGTAAAAGATGTCTGGAACAGTGCTAGCAGCTATCTGACTCACTCACATCTGCATACAGAACCAAGATGGAAGTCGATCAGCACAGTGAAAAAACAAAACAAAAGATCCTTTTGGCACTTTTGATTTAAAAGGTGGACTTGAAAAATCCCATTTTCAGTTTAGTATTACTGCAACCAGGTAATCAGTTCATTGTCCAAAAAAAAGTCATTGAACATGTGTATGTTTTAATCAGTTTAATAAAACCCTTTCTTATAAGTCCAGTTGCTGCAATATTAATGTGCCAGTACATTAGCAGTGCATATAATGGTAAACACAGGAATTAGAAATTATATATATCTGATATTTACACAATAAATTAATAGTATAAAACTGTTATTCAAGTCAACAATGTGAACACTGAATGTATGCTTTGTAGTACCGCAGTAGTGCAATAAATGAAATCTTAGTGCAGGAATGTTGCATCTAAAGTATCTTAAAATATGCTTAATCTGCTTCATCAAGCTTTCAAAGCATTTGTTATCAGAAAATACAAGGCGTTTTTATGCTCATAGTTAATCGCTGAAAATGTCAGTTATTTATTTTTAAAGTTCCTATTTAACTTTCCCACTCCTCTTCATCTGAGGAGCAGCAGGACTTGAGGCGTTCGGGGATGTTTTTGTATGTGAGGTACTCAAGGATCCTCTTGGGGAGGGGCAGCGCCTCAATCTGGTGCGTGGAGATAGAGTGGCGCAGGATAGATCGACACAGGTGGCACAAGCTGGGCACCGCACTGGGTGCCCTCCAGAACCTCACGTGGCCATCTCTGGTTCTGCCAAAAGAGACACATTTGCATGTTTATTCAGGGGCCAGTTTTCACAAAGATACTTTAGACTGGTGTGTTCAGGGATGGTCCTAATTTTGCTTGTAGATTTAATGCGTCTAATGCAAATCAAATGGTGTCAATAATGTAAAGACAGGTCTCATTTTCACCTTTAAATGAATCAAACTTCCATACTAACTCGAGCCTAAGATTGATGTTACCATGGTACCGACAAGTAGCTTTGACTATTAGTACTCGAAAAGACAAAATCGTTGCTTGTAATTTACCAACATTATGTATTAGAACAGAGTTTTAGACACTGAATTGCTTTCAGCCACTTTTGTATTTTCAAAGGAGCACTAGATGGATCTGCATATCTGATCCCCCCCACCAATATATTATATTTAACAGCTTAATAACTGGGGGTTTTTTGACTAAAAATGAATGATATGAGAGCCTAATTTCATGGCTAAGTTTAGCTGTATAAATATACTTTATAAAAAAATTAAATAAATAAAGCTAGGAAGTGGGGTAAACTGAATTTTGGCATATAATGTCTATCGACCACCCTCTAATATTGTGAATCTATGCTGAAATGAAAGCATCCTTACCCCGTAGCAACAACTCCCCCTTGTGGATGGTACTTGCAGCACAGTCCATTAGAGTCTCTGTCTCTTTTCGTCTCCATCACCATCCCTTTCTCCCCCAGCTCCCAAATCCTAAGAGCTCTGCAAACGCAACACATCTGTCTGAAAGCATCTTTCCAGTGTGTAAAACATTTAAGTTATATAATATAGCATTTTCAGATAACTGACCTGTCGTCTGTCACAAGTGTCAAGTGCAGACCGTTTGGAGAGAACTGTATTGCTGATATTTGGTTTTGCCCATAATCTTCAAAGTAGTCACTGTGCAGAAGAGAAAGAGTGATGACTTTGAACTGCACCAAGTCAAAGTCAGACGCTCCACATAGTATACATAGAAAACAGATTGCAAAAGACAAGGACACTAGGACATACTTTCACATGCCGTGTCATACGCAAACAGAGATAATGACAGTGTGGGCTGTTTGGTTCACAGATTTAAGCTTCTGTACTTAAACTCAATGGTAACAACCCGTTTATTTGAGTAATTTGCGGTCTTCTTATGTAACCCATAAAATGGAGTCTTTGTGCACAATTTTAACCCTCAAAGTTGTACAAACTCACGCCAGAGTGGCCAGTTTCTCTGCTGTGTATGGGTCCCAGAGGTCGATCCACCAACTGGAGCCGCTGAAGGCTGCAGTGGCGAGAATTGCCCCGTCAGGAGAGAAGTCACAAGAAGACAGGAGGTACACGGTCTTGTGGGCCCCTCCTGTCAGGTTCCTGATGAATGTATATGAACGTAGACTCCACAGACACACCATCTGATCAAAGTATAATCATGCAGGGTTAATGAGACTTTATACCTTGCTGGAAGGGCTGTTTTTAATTTGGAAAATTAATGTAGGTTTAGTCGACGCTCAAAGTAGCTTGTCCCTGGGGTAATTAATTGCTTCAGAACTGAAAAAAAATGTTTTTACAAAAGCTAGTAATTTGTCAGTGATGTACTTGCTTGGTGTCAGCAGGACACCCTGAACCACGCAGCAGCGAGTGACTATGCTCTTAAAGTCTAATATTACACAACGTTATGCTGTCTGCTTTCCTTTGAAAATGAGAATATGTGAAATTGCCAGTTTGACTGGAGTGTTAAGACTTCCTGGTGCTCCAGAAGTTTCTAGAAAATGCTAAATGGCCTAAAAACAATTTAATAGCAGGACGAGGTAAAACAGTCAGACCACTACAATAGATATTCAGAAGCACCCACTAGCAGATAATTTCACTGAAAATGGATATCTCCTATAGGTGTTTAACTGGGTTGGTGTCAGCTGACTAAAGACATAAAATATAAGTCTCTGTATTTTCATACTCAAACCAACCAGAGCCTTTAGATAGTGATATTGTCATCCTGTGAGAGACCACCCCCATGAGGACAGAACTGTTTCATCACCAGATAAAGATGATTACTCAAAACAACATGTCCTAAAATAGCCCCACAGCATAACAGAGCCATGCTCAGTGGAGAGATCAAGCATTCAGGTTTTTCCTATAATTTGTCCAGGACGTATGCAACTCATATCCATCAATACTGGTAGCTGTCAAAAGAAAACACCACTAAAATAACTGAAGTTTGCAGAAGATTAAATACTTTACATAAGCAAATATCAACAAACTTGTTAAGAGCAAGAATTCAAATAGGAAAATACTTGAATATACCTTCAAACTAATTTCATTGTCCTAGAAAAATTAACGTGATGCAGGATTGCATTTAAAGCTGCCCTTTTAGACAATTTGTATCACACACTTTGAGCCATTCTCCTGATTAGACTTGTGGACAAACAACATTAAATGTGACACAGAGTTGAATGAACAGGGTCGCCCAAATCCATGTTGATAATGTTCATTAAAAACTGATAAAAAGAAGGACAAAAGGACACATTCAGCAAGCTTAGAGACATTAAGCATTTACAAGTGTTTGAGTTTTACATGCACAAACAAATTACTTAAGTTATCTTTTACAGTGCTCAGTACTTGATGAATATGACCTAATACGGTACTTTTGCAATGAAACACCTCACCCTGTCAAATCTCCCGACAGATGCAATCATGCTACAGTCAGATGATACGCAGCAGGAACTAATCCAGTCTTTATGGCCATAAAGCACCTGCACCTTTTTCCCTAAAACAGACAGGAAAAACATGGACGTAAATGTAGACGAGAGACTACAAAGCCTCATTATTTTTACTTTATTTTTTAAAATGACAGTACATCTCAGCTCCTGATTCCTGAATGTGTAAGCACAGCCATCTGCTAGCTTTAACCTCTTACATTAGAACAGAAGGTTTATTTCAGCTGAGTTTCACAAGATTAAACAGGGGTGAAGTAATGAATAGACAGCTTCAGTCATTAAGACCCTGTCTGCAAAGCCTCCAGAGTTGTTTGGTGACACGTGACAGTTAATATTTAACAGTTTTTTAAATGGGTGATCAGGCAAGCTCGAGGTGTACTTTGACATTTGAAAATTCAGCTGAAAAGCCTTGCAGTTCTAAGGTTATCTGCAAGAAAACAATTTGAGCCCAAGTAAAAAGGACGCACCAAATATGTAGATTATATTTTGTCCAAAACATTTTTTTAAAAATAAGACAGTTGTGACTGCTACTCACAGGTATTTCTCATAAATATCTGAAAAATACCTTTATGAGCCAGGTCCCATATCCTCAAAGTTTTGTCCCGAGAGGATGATATGAGTGTGAGCGTCCCATTCTGAGGAAACACCAGGTCCCTTACAACCCCTTCGTGGCCGTGGAGATCAAAAACAGCACTGCCTAAAGGAAAGGAAAAGAAAAAACAAGCGATTTGAAAATCCATTTAATTCAGCCAAGCAAAACTAACTGTCACAGAAAAATAAAAATCTCACCTGTTAAAACGTTCCAGATTTTGATCACCCCGTTCTCCAAGCCCGTGGCCAGAAGCAGGCTGTTTTTCCCTTCTGATCGTGCTTTAGCCGGACACGCTGTTGCATTTGATTTTGGAGGTCTGGGCCCGAAGGCGAGCCCCCACACTGGGTGACCACAACTGAAGCTTTTGTCTCCTCTGTCAGTCTCTCCATTTTGACTTTCTCTGTGGGTGAGAGGAGCACCAAGAGTGCAGATGCCATAAAAAACTCCAGTGTAGGCGGTGTGAAGCTAGAGTTGGTGATTAAATGATGCAGCTTTCAAGTGTTGCTGGTCACAGCAGATCTAAACAACTAAACGGTAAACTGAGAGCTGAAATTTGAGTCTTCATGTTTTGCTTTTTTCTTTCACGTTAATCTAAAATAATAGCTGGAATGAATACATCCACTTGCATTCTTCTGCCTCCTTCCATATGTTTTATCAAATGTACCAACAAAATCTACTGAGTATTTAAAGTTGTAAGTCACATTTTTTTGCCTTATTTAATTATTTAGGCAAATTCAAACATTGTTCATGGAGCAACAATTCTTTACTGCAACAAAAATATAAAGAAAAAAAAAAAAGAGTACTGTTTTGTTATTTTGTGTGGTATTGGCAGCAGTGCTGAGCATTTTTCAAACAAATTGGCACTAATGAACACTGCTGAGCCGAAGGGAAATTCTTTGTGGGCACTAGACAGAAAAATACTATAATTTCAGGGGCCTAATTTAGAGGTTGGGGGGTGGGGGTGTAGGGCATAACAGCAAGACCCAAAAGTTTAATATTAAATACAGAAAAATTAGAATTTTTAATAAATAAATAAATGAAAAAAGGAATAAATGACATTACTTAAAGCTATTTTTAAAATCTATATCTGGTCTTACTTTAAACAATAGATGCTTTTAATGCTTATTTTCTGGAGTTTTTATCGCATTCATGCCTTATTTCCAAAATACTGCTCAGTTGCATGAGGATATTTTCACATACTGATTAACTTTCATAACCACACATAACACTAAACACTGGATCTTTATAATACAAAAGCCAGTGCAGAAATGGACTGTGATCATTATTGTGGAGTTGTGCAAGACAGAGACGGGTTATAGAAGCCAAAGGATATTATCATAAGGTTAGATTTTAACTGTTTACTTGATCTAGCCGAACATGAAGTAATACTTTTTCCCAGGTGGCTTGATTTCTTACATAAATACAGGCGTGTCTTAAAAGAGAAAACAAGGGGTTAAATCTGATTGTCCACCACCATCCCCACCCCACCCCACCCGTGCTACTGTTAATCTTACAAAGCCCAGCGTCATTGTATAAGAGCAGTTTGGACATTTACTCGAGTACACTTTTAATGTACCTATGTTATTCGTCTTTTTGATGCGAGTATAGTACTTGTTTTAACGCTTCAGTTATTTATTTTGTAGATTTTGTAGAGTAACTGACACATATTGTTCGGTATTACTACAGATAAAACTACACACATTTTACTTTAGGTAAAAATAAAATATATTTTTAATACTATTAGACTTACCGATATATTTTGGATTAAGTAAAGATTCCGTCACTTTGCATAACAGTTACTGTATATAAAAAGATGTTTACACTTTTTGTGTAGTAGCCTCTGTAGAAGGAACAGGGCTGCACTTGAGTGTCCCCGGTATTTCCGTCACTGTATTCATTTCGAATCAAGTGTTCTTGTTACCTGCGGGCGCCTCTGTGCCACAATTAATCCCAAAAAATAAAATAAAATAAAAAAATCAATCAATCATTCGAAAAGCCCGTGCAGGACCTGCCACCACCACCTTTCACCTGACACGGAAACCAGAATCTTCGAGGGCGACCTGAATGCATCACGTGCGGATTAAGTATACAGTAAAACCTACTCTGAGTCGAGAGGCCAGGCGACGACCCAGACGATCCCGTGTCCCATGGACCAGGCGAACCAAGCTCCATCCGGAGAGAAGTCAACACTCCAGGTTTCACGTCCAGCTCTCTCCACCAAGGACGGAGGTCGCCTGGTCTTCAGCTCCAGGAGAAGAGCCGGGTCGGACGCTGAAGGAGGATAGAAAGACACCACATAATCAACGTTTGGCACGTTCATCCTCTGACAGCGCTTGCAACTCTTAACCCACCAGCGTCCCCTGCTCGGTTGTATACGGTGCCTCTGGAGGTTTAAGGCCATCTCCAAGTAACCGCTGCCTAGTTTCTGATCGTTGCGATGACAACGTACTCACCGAGCTCGGACGACAGTCGCAAATATTCACTTACATGTCGGCTGCAGCTCTGGGTTGTTTTCCGTGGAGCACATCCTTTCGCTTTTCACATTCTTCGCTTTGTGACCGACTTCCTGAACGTGTCCTCCCCGGTTGACCGCAGCATTTAAACTAAAGGAGCTCACACTTTGTACGTCCGCAGAGAGCAGAGGCTCGGCGACAGAGTGCTGTCTGTCAGAGATAACGTGACAAGAAGAAACGAAATGTTCAGTGAGTTCCTGTTATCTGACTCATTTGTACCATTGCCCAACGTGATCACGTCTCCTTTCATGACGTAACCTTATTATAACCCTTAAACCACACCCCCCATGAGATTAAACAACAATCCAGCTTGTTTCTTACACCGTATCCACTCGTTATAACGAGAGTTGGCTTTATTATACCCAAAGTCAGTGATTCAGGGACGTGGAGCGACTTTTTTTTTGTTAGTGGGGTCTCTCTCTCTCTCTTACACACACACACTGACACACACACACACACACACTGACACGCCCCTCTTATGATAGTGGAAAATACCCTGGTACCTTTGTACCTAACTGTTTGGGTTGAAGTTCACATTTAATATGAAAATTTCTCACTAAAATATTCATAAACAATGTTTAGTTTTTTTATTTCACTCAGAGCAACAGAAAATGTGCAAAACTACAAAGTGAAAAAGCTGTGAAAACTGAGCCTTCATGTGAAGTTCATTTGCAAGCTTTGCTCTCTTGCATCATGCATGATTATTTTTGGCCTACTGTACTTTGGCCTACTGTACTTTGCTTGCTTGTTTTTTTTCTCGCTGTGATGAACAATATTATCATTATTAGTTGAGATCACTCTGAATATTTTTGACTTTTTAAGGACATAAAATTGTTCAAACTGAATTACAGGGAATGAGTATTGATCTAGTAACAACAGGGACTTCTAAATTTGTGAATTAATTTGTGCCATTGAGAAATACAATTTGTGGGTTATTTCTTGTTCATGTAGATTGTGTTTTATCTATTCCTTTTTGAAAAAGAGTCTCTTTAGCATACAGTGATCGCCTTTGGGTGTTTGGGTGCAAAAATCTTTAAAGAAAGAATTTTGCACCCAAATTTTATACTAGAGTAAAATGTTTCTCACTGATATAGAGGAGTACAGTAATGTAATATTTCTGTAGACGTACACAAATATTCACAAAATATTTGCTTATATTTTTATCCTTTATTTCCCCTTTTGGTTCTGCCCTGCAAATCATGTATCAAATATCTGTACAATAACAAAAAAAACCATTCAGAACAACTTTCTATACAAAGTGCATGAAAACAGTTTAAATACCTGATGATCCATAACATTTTTTTTTTTATATACATGTTCATTTCATGTCGCATTGTCTCCTGTTGTTTTTCTAACCGGTAAATTCTTCTTCAGTTGGTGTCCATGTGTGACTATTAAGGTTTGTTTTAATGTAAAAGAAAAATATACAAACTTGATGTGATCATAGCCGTAGAATAACATTATAGCTGCCTCAAAAGCAGTGAAAAAGTCTCTGTACTGTGTACACATCATCTTAAATATGTACCATGAATTATTAATATATCAGAGCACCTATTTCCAGACTGTTACGTGTGAGGCTGGATCTCCCTTTAACAGCCTAATGCATTATTAAAGCCTGCAGACTGTTTGGATTTAAAGTGCCATTCAAATGATCCATCTGTCTCCTTTAAAAGAAACACAACAGCACTACATTTTTTATATGATTTTGATGGTTTTACACAGTGAATTATTTAGACTATTAATTATCCAGTAAAATCTTCCTTATAAAAACTGAGGTGACTTGAGAGACTCAATTCTACTTTTGCATTAAAAGGACACTAATAATAAATTCTAATAATATTGAATAATTTTGTTTAAATCAACAAATTCTTTGTCAAACCCTTTAGAGTTTAATTTCAGTTTTCCCTCTCACGTAGATCTCGTGTAAATATTTTCAAGTGAGTGAGTCAAGTTTGTTTCACACGTAGCATGAATCTCAGATGAGTGACGAACTGACTCTGCTGCATTTAAAAAAAAAAAAAAAAAAAGTTCTGCAGCAGAGTCGCAGTCTAGACCGAGATAGTCAAAGGTCACATATATTGGTCTGCATAGTGTACATAGTGAACACCTTTAAAAATACAAAACTCATAAAAACATGCAAAGAATATTTGTTCAAACACATTTACTGTATTACATTTATTTATTTTTACATACTGTATAAACAAATCAATCAAAATAAATTTACAAAAAATATAGAATCTTAAAAAAAAAAAAAAAAAATAGAAAGGAAGGACAAAAAGGTTTCTGCCACCGATTCTGTTCACATTCTCTTCAGGAGTAAATTTACCTAAAACTAAACATTGCTCTAAAAAAATCCCCAATACCTAAAATTCTACAAGTTGCACTGGCTCTTCCGTCTGTACGGTATCCTCCTGCTGCTGTGGACTTGTGTCAGCAGTTTCTGCATCCTCGTGATCACCTGAATAAAAGAGGGACATTTTTATTTTACAAAATATTTTTACACTGAAATTAGAAAACTTATAAATTGCTGTGATGAAGTCCTACTCGATGGGATTCGATGTATCTGCACAAGTGTTGTGTGATGTCCGTTGGTTATTGGAGGCAGCCGGGGAACTGCATCTTGGAAGACTTGTTCGTCATCTGACTCCACCAGACTCAGAACGTCTCCACTGTCGTCATCCACTTGCCTGCAGAGGTGAGAATAGTATGACACGGGCGCACACGTGCAGCCAGATCTTTAAAACTGATCTTCGCCAAGTATTTGTTAGACAGTTTTGTTCAGTCCACATTCCAGAGATGGCTTTGACCAAAACCAAAGTCACCATTTTGGAATTTTTGGCCACTAAAAGTCCTTTGGAGAAATGTGTTTAATGTGAATGATCATCATAAAGACCACAAGCTAAAATTCTTCAGTTTAGCAAATTAAGTTTTATATGTGCTAGTCCTCCAACTAAACAACTGTGACAATTTAGCTGAAAAACTTGTTTTACGCAGTTCTGCCATGTAAGGTGAAGAGTTTTAAAGAAGCATTTTGTTTTTAAACAAGATTGAGGCGCCAGAAGCGGAGCACACTTTCAATCACAAAACTGGAGTTTGACCCCCTCTGTGCGAGCTAAAATGTGTGGGCAGACATCAGTGACAGCAAAAATCAGTTAGAAGCTCTATGAAATGGAGCAGCTGCAGTAGAGGTGAGTTGCAAAGCAGCTTGTAAAAGCAGCAGCAAGTGTGTGCAGGCTGAGCATGGTATCAAGATATCGTCTACTGCTCAGAGGTGGAATTACTCTTAAGGGTGCTGAAGATGTATAGATGGTAGGATTTACTTTTTGTCCTTTCTCTGAGATCCTTCCATATTTGTAAAAGCACAGATGCTCATAATTTTAGATTCCTTGTAATCTAACTTAAAAAGAAAATAATGGTAAGATTTTTAATAGATACATCTATGGTATCAACTTCAAAATCCTACATTGCCTCGTGCTCGAGTTATTACAATTACAAGATTGACCTGAGAATGAGGTCACTGAGATTGGAACTTGTCTGAAACTTTTAGTAGATACACCTATGGTATGAACTCAATACTCCTATTTCGCGTCGTTCTCGAGTTATCACATTCATAAAGTTGGGTGTACAAATGACCTGCCCACCTTCCCATCAGGCAGTGTGACCACAACATCCCAACTGCCTTTTACAGCCGAGGGGTAAAAAGAACTCCTAGAAAATAATGGTACTACTTGATGATTGGCTTGCTTTTAAATGGAAAAAACAATGCATTTCAAATGCAACACAGATGTGCATAAAGTACTTTAACTCAATCTATATGGACTGTGCAACTAAAGTAAGCATTTAGTATATATGCCAAAAGCAAATATGAAATACTCACCCAAAGCCACCTATTGACACACAAACACAAAGAATGGCATCAGTATTAGTAGATTTTCATGTTTAATACAGTTCCTATTAATTTAAAATGCAGATACAGCATGTGGATTGTTATTGATCAGAGGCTGACGCTATTATTGATGCAAAATTTATTTATGAAAAGAAAAAAAAAAATTACCCAGGCAAATCCGGTCTCTGCTGTTGTAGACAATTTTGGCTATGATGACAGCTGACCCCATAATCAGTGCTGCTATAAATATGCCGATGACTGCTCCTGTGTACGCGGAAGAGGCTGCTGAAACCAAAAAAGGCAACAGGAGAAGCTTATGAAGTACAAAAAAGGGTGGAGCAGCAGGTTTATCTGGATTCCAGAGGCGGAGTCAACACCTGTAGTGACTAGCATGCTGTTTACACTTCTGCTTAATGTCTATTCGTTATCTCACGCAGACATTGAAAAAAATGCAAAGACATGCAAATGATCTATTCTGTAAAACTACTAATGCCAGGATATTCCTCTTATTCAAAACTCAACTCTTCACAGTGAGCTCCACTTCCAGCTCGCGTAATCCGAGTGGGTTCTCACTGTGGCAGAAATAGAAGCCTTCGTCCTCTTTAGTGACGTTTACTATGGTCAGCTTGAAGACCGGGCCTTCCAAAGACAGGATGTACTTTGATCCAGATTCAATGTAGTCCAGTTGTAATCCCTTTCTCCATGTGGTAATTGCAGGGGGCTTGGACGTGGTCTCAGTGCATGTGAGTGTTACGTTGCTTGCCTCCAGAGCAGAGACCATTGGTTCGCCTTCAGGGAAGGGAAGCTCTGACAGAGTGAGAGAGGAGGAAAAATAAAAATAAAAATCAGATACTTTATCATTTCAGTCAGATATTTTTTAAAAAAGTCAAATGTATTTACATTTACAAAACTTGATTTATGTGGGATATAAAGCATATGAGGAATCTTACTTGAAAAGTATTTGCCCTACTCCCAAATTCCTATTTTTTGCACATTTGTCACACTTAAATGTTTCAGATCATCAAACAAGTTTTGATATTAGACAAAGATAACAACTGCACTTTACTTGGGTTAAATAATTTCCAAGCCGACCTGGCCTATGTGGAAAAAGTAATCGCTCCCCAAACCTAACTGTTTCTACTACCCTTGGATGCAAGAACTGTAACTGATTGCATTGCTGTGGAGGAATTCTAGCCCACTCTCCTTTCCAGAATAGTTTTAATTGAGCCACATCGAGCACGAACGGCCTTTTTAAGGTCTTGCTAAAGCATCTCAATCTGATTCAAGTCTAAAAGCCTTCATTTTGCCTTTACTGAACCATTCAGAGATGGACTTGCTGGT